TTTGAAACTGTCTCATTGCTATATGTTTATCAATAAAACTTTGAAAAGAAAAAAAAACACCATTACTTTTCCATATTTTTATCTTTTATGCTGTTATACTTGGAAAGTTCTTTACTAAAGTGAGAAGGTGAATAAATACTCAACAGTGTCTGAATACTTATTTAATCACAAAACCAGTATTTCCTGAAGAAAATAAAAAGAAAAGCCAGGAAGTAGAAGAAAATATTTATGAATCATATATCCAACAAAGTACTTGTACTTAAGTATATAAAATTTTTCATATCTGAAGAATAGGGAAACAACTTCATTTTAAAACTTAGCAAATAATTAGAATAGACCAACTATTAAAGAATATGCATGTATGGTAAATAGAAATGTAAACAGTTGCTCAGAATCATCTGGGTTTTTGTTTTTGTTTTTACTTTTCTTAATGCCTCTTATTCATACAACACCAGCATATTTTTATAGCCTGACCTATAGGCAATTTTTTTTTTGGCAGAAGCAGGGATTGAACTCAGGCCCTTGCACTTGCCAGGGAAGTGCTTATTCTACTGAGCCATCTCCCTGGGCCTAGACATCTTTCTCTACCTTCCTCTTTTCCTTATTGAAGGGGATGGTAGCTTTTACACTAAACATCAGGGAGGAGGATGTGGTGGGATAGATAAGAAAAGGATCTTTTTATTTCTAAATGCCAAACCCCAGACTAAGAGCAGATCTGGGGCAAGGGAAAAACACTGAACTAAGTGTACAGAAGGCAATTTCTCTCTAATCCTAGGAAGAAATTCCCAACTCTATAGCTGTCAAGGTGGATGTTCCACAAAGGCAGCAAGACCACGGAGGGCGGCTGGCTTCAAGAGCAGAGGACCAGAGCTTTTCTTTCTTGGCAGAAAGGGCAGCCATGTGTCCTGGCAAGGGGACCTCTTTGGCTGCCCGAGGTCATGGTGTCCCAACAACTACAACATGGAAACAGCTGGACATCATCAGACCTGAAGGGACCAGGACAGAAGATGAGGAAGCCATCTTCTGCAGGCTACACAATATGGGGCTTATTAAAGAAGATTCCAGAAGCACAGCACAATGAGGAAAGCCTGGAAAAGATAGAGGCTGATACTGTTTCCCACTATTCTACTGAGGTGCTCCAAAACAAGAAATTAAATTATAGACAACAGAAATCACTATAACTTTAATATATGGGTTGTAACATAACATTAATACTTGGTATAATGAACAATCCACCTTTTCCCTGACACATGTAACATGCTCCATGTGGAAAGGAAAGGGAACTATTTCACCAACTGTGTTATCCCCAGCGCCTAGTACGATGCTTCACACTTTAGGGACTTAATAAAGTCAATAAAGGGATGTTTTGTGATACACTTCTCCCTATTATACCCATAACAAAATGATACAGGATGATACCAGACTTCTTCAAAAAATTCCATGAGTAGAAATGAAAATTTACACTACCCATTTTGGCAACAGATGCCAGGGGGCTTTGAAGTATTTCCAATGTACACCAAAGGCCTTTTATCTACAATAGAAGCTTAGAATCTGACTTAGCTGAAGGGTATAGAAAGCCACCCTGCTAGAGACAGACTTGTATCTCTGCAGATGATATTGACAGGATTCTAAAGAACTCATTCTTTCTTAAGTGCAGACTGATGCCCCTCTGTGGCTATATGTTAATTTTGGGAGCTGCTCCTTTTTAATTGTGTGGAAGTTGCCAACAGGAGATCAGCAGAGAGCCAGAGGAGGATGGAAGACGGACCTCAGACCATCCTGGACAAAACTGTGAAACTGGACTGCATACTTGATTCTACACAAGGTTTTAGTTGAAACTGAGAAAGCTGTACTTTGGATGATGTACTGGAGTCACACTACTGTGTCCCTTAATTACTTTTTTTGGAGGGCAGAGCGGGGAGAGGCAAAGGGTGAGGCGACCTTCCTGTGAATGGGCTTTGCATGAAAGAAAATGGCTGCCTCTTCTGTAAAGGAGGTTTGAGGCCTTTCCTCAGCCTGGGGTTAAGGCCTGAACTTGGCAGAAGGGTGCTCTTGAGAGACCCAACAAACTTGCAGTTGTGGAGGCAGGTGGGGGCTGAGCTGCAGAGACTCAGTGGAGGACATATCTTTCTGAAGGGGACTTTTATGAAGGGGCTTGGACTGAGAGTATTTGGGCAGCATGAATGTATACAGCATGGCTCCTTAGTCCCTACCCACAGATTATGTCCTCTGTCACTTATACATTATTCTCCTCCTTTGTTAGGCTACAGGCAACAATTTTGTGACATCTAATACAGCCATATATTATTTTGAGTTCCATAATCCATCACACCCCCTGTTTGAAGGTGGCAGGCATGAGTTATTTCATTGTACATCAGAAAGGTTTCCAGATGATCTGTTTTACTCTACCAAATGAGGGGCCAGTAGATTATGTCCTCTCATTTAGAGAATATACTACCAATCAAGTCAGTTGTGGAGGGTTGAATGCTGATCTAGTCAGGTCTACCGGTGTGAAATCCTCCCCGCAAGGACTTGCTGTTACCATCACCATGGAAGAGGCCTGGAAACACAGTGGAGTGGGAGGACTTAACTTGTTTCCCTGAAGAATGAGGGGAACATATAGATGGCATTTGGTTAATACACCGAGGGCATTTCTAATGGCAAATTTGTAGCTCTTGATGTCAAGTTTCTATAGTTCCTTTCTTATCACTAATCTTCAGGACAGGCCTGGAAACACAGCAGACTGGTCTCAACCATAGCATGGGGAGCTGAATCTCAGGGCCCATGACTCAGAAGGACCCAAGCAGTGACAGGCAGCGGCTGGGACGGGGATCTCCAGACTTTAGGAGGGGTGGGTGTGAGAGGCAGCGCTGGGTCAGGTCAATAGCCAAGAACTCATTTACAAAACACGTAAGCACTGTCCAGAGCATTCCCAGAAATACATGGGGAGGACACCTTGATAAAAGACTATCCTCCCTGAAGATAAATGTGCTGCTTAGAAGAGTGAATTATGACCTCACAGATTGATGAATTTTGGCTCATTTAAAATATACGTGCTGTTTCTAGGTCGTGCATTCTGTGCCATTAATCTTAGTTAAGTACCGCAATGATTTTAAAATCACAGATTTATGATGTGCTTTTATGTGTAGAAGGACTAGTTCTCCATTTTTTCTCTCTCTGTAGTTTACAAAACTTATTTTTTTCCTTCCCCTTCTGTGAAAACTTTCTGTAGGAAAATCTGTCACTAGTAAAGGGAAGGAATGGTTGTAAATGCTTAAAGCACTTAAACCTATGCAAATTTTGAGAAATTAAATGACTAACAGGAGGTTACGGATTCAATGTGAAGACATGGTTGTGAGTTCAGCGTGAAACAAAATGGCGGCATCAAAATGGCTGACCGGAAGTGTGGCACTGCAGTCGAGCTTTCAAGCAGGACCTGGACTCTATTTTTCCTCCTCCTCCTCTACCCGCTAGGTATTGAACTCAGGGCCTCAATCAAGATGCCAGGCAAGAGATCTACCGCTGAGCTACGTCCTTAGCCTTTTTCACTTTTTGCTTTAAGACAAGGTCTCTCTAAGTTGCCCAGATTGTCCGCAAGCTTACAGTTTCTCCTGCTTCAGCCTCCTAAGTCGCCCGGGTTACAGGCATGTGGTGCCAGGCCCAGCCTAGAACTGAGCTTTCCTTGAGATTATACTTCCCTTTCCTTGAGATTATACTTCCCTCTCCAAGGACCTGACCTTCTGTCCTCTTTCCTCCCCTTTTTCCTTTCTTCCCTGAGGCCCAGGGAACTGGATTGTCCTTGCTGTGTGTTAGTATAACAAGGAAAACGTTCTGGTCAAAGCTGGTTCTAGGGACACTTTGAAGTAGGCAACTTTTCCTTTTGCCCTTCTTTCTGAATGCTTGTTCCTTTTTTTTTTTTCTTTCTTTCAGTTTTTCTCTTCATACTAACATATTTAATTCCAACTGGCTCAGGATTGACACCTGCTCTTAGGAAAAAGATTAATTTCAGTGATTTATACTTTAGTTGTGATTAAAATCACCATGCTGACCACCTGAAGCTTCTAAGACTTAGGCAGTATCTGAATTTGTGTGTGTATATGTGTATGTGTGTGTTAAAATAATCACAGATATTGGGGGAGAGGCTTTCAAAGGACATCTAAAATGATGATAAGCAAGTGACTAAGTTTGTACTTTAAAAGGATACAAGCCCAAACGTAATAAGTAAGCCTTGAACTTACTTTCAATAGCCATTGTTCTATTTTTGCTGTATTTCCCTTGGCTCAGTGCGTAGCAGACACAGTGGCGAGGCAGGCAGGACGCTGTAGGTGAAAAGTTCTAAATTTGGAAGTCACAGGTACAAACCTCCGCCAAGCTGCTAACCAGCACTGAGGGAAATCTTTTCCACTTTGTGGACCCACAGGCCAACATATTTTCAATGATTGAAAGAAACCTGATAAGTCCCTTGAAATTTTATGAGCCCCTTTGTTTTGAATTTAAAACCTCACTTACGCTCTCCTCTGAATAACAATAACTTGTTCACTCATGACATAATCCAGGAATGAAGAAGAAAATAAAACCTACCATTAAGATCAGAAAGAGTGCAGGGCAGGAAGCTGATCTACAGAAAGCCTTCAGAGGACTCTGAAAACAGCTACAAAAAAGTGGAAAATCTGACCATACAAGTCACAGCATGTCTCTCCATAACAATGATTTTCCCTCCTCTTACTAGAACAGAGCAGTTTTCACTGCCACAAACGTGTATTACTGGCAAGAAGGATATAGTCAAAAAAAAAAAAAAAAAAAAAAAAAGGATATGGTCATACAGAATGACTCCTTGAGCATCTTTATTTTACAGTTAATGTTTGGGGAAAGTGTTCGGTAGTTTCTAGCATTTTCTAAGTTTCCACCAGTACCTGTCATCCACATCCAGAGCCTGCAGGTTACACTCAGGGACTCTCGCCAGTTCATCTATAATGCTGCTGAACCCTGCGGCCGCGGCGATGTGCGCACACGTCTTCCCGCTCTCGTCGTCGTAGTTGATTATAGACGGCCCCTGATGGTGGCTCAGGATGATGGAACACAAAATCCTGTTTCCACTCTGAAAAACAGAGTCAAAGAAAGCCCACAATAACCAATCCCAAGCTCTTTCCTGTTAAGATTAAAAATATGGAATAAAAGCTATGAGAAAGGGAGACAGAGATACAGAGACAGAGAGAGGAAAAAGAAGAAAGGAAAAAGAAAACATTCCATATGATACAAATGATTTCTGAAAGAACAAAATGACAACAATTTAGGTCAGATATTGATTGGCTTTATTTTTATTCTAAAACCAGGCAAGTCTTCACTCTACAAAATCAAGTAAGTGTTCCAACGGGCTGAGCCAATCGGATTGTCTGTATTGACAGACTGCATGGCTGAAAAAAGTGGAGGCAGCAAAGCCGGACTGATCCTTTCAAAGCTACTTTTCTTTTAAGGCAGGGACAGAGAGAGAACAATAGAAAAATACCTGCTTGGCTGATGTAAAATTACTTCAAGTTACCTTTTGTAAGAATGAAAGGATGTAAGAATTAAAGAAGAAGGAATTCCATTGGTCCATTTGGGAAATGTAACTGTTTTGTCTCTCCTGCTGTTTCTGAATGTCAGGTAACAAATTGCCTTTGGTTGGGGGAGCTCAGACTTACGCCTGGTGACACTGTTTTGATTTAGAGTCTGTCTGTTGAGGCCTAGTGTGGAAACATAGTTCAAATCAATGTCCTCCCATAAATTTCATTGAATATTACCAACAAATTTCTACCTGTGTCAGTTTTCTGTCAGGATTTTTATCTTCTGTAAGAGATAAACTGTCTTCCAAGGAGGTGCTTAAATACAGACAGGGTTGACCAACATCACACACAGCTTGGTGGCCAGGCAGTAGTTTGTTCATTAGGTCTGTTTGTACTGTTTCCCTGTGAAGGCTGAAAACTGGCACAGGTACTTTATTTACTTTTTGAGGTAGGATCTCTCTGTGTTACCCTGGGATCGGGTGATCTTCTTGGCTCTGCTTCCCAAGTAACTGCTGAATTTTAAGAAAGCTCCACAGATTATTGTGAGGTGGGCATGGTGGCACATGCTTATAATCCCAGAACACTGGGATGCTGAGGCAGGAGGATCTTAAGTTCAGGCCCAGTCTGGGCAATTTAGGGAGTGTGATGTTCCCAGGTTGGATTCATAATATGGCAAAAAAGAAAAAGAAATTTTAAAAGAGTAACAAGAAAATGATTGTGGTTGAAAAAAAAACAAAAAAACAAAAAAACAAAAAAAAACCCAAAACTGGTAGCACAATGATGCCTTGTCATGTCTCTGGAGATGTCATGGTGATTTTCACTTATTATGTGGCATTCTGGGAATTTACCACGAACTCAGACCCTCACAAGAGCCTGTGACCTGCTTCGCAACTGGGCATATGTTCAAAAGTCTGTCTGTGGCAGGCCTTCCCAGGGACAGAGGGCAGCGGTGGTGGCTGGGCAGGAGCCAAGTAGCAGAGGGCTGAAGATCTGTCCTGGGGAGTGGGGAGGCAGCACTCCGCTATGCTGTCAGACTTCACTTAAAAATCAAACAGAGAATTTCCAGATGGCGACTGCAGAGCGCTGGCTACCGTAGGGACAGGATTTTCTTCCGAGCACTGTGCATCCTGTGGCTGTACTTGGCACATGTCCCTAACGTGGTCCTCCCCTAAAGCCATTTCCCTTCTCTTCTTTTAACCTTCCTTCTTACATCTCCTTCCTTCTCACATCTTTTCTTTGTCTGACAGAAACTTAAAAATACCTTTGATGAGCCAGTTACATCCTACGGCACGCCTGTCCTTGGAAGTCTGCTGCTCTGAGCCCGCGGGGACCGCTGAGCTCATCTTATCAACTTGTCTCAGATTCGTTCGCTTGATCTTATTAAATGGATTTTGCAGGGATCTGAAACGTATCTCAAACTGTCAAGAGACACTTTTCTTTGAAAGCACTAGACGCTAGAGAAGGAAAACAGAAAAGAATGCCAGCGGGGTGAATTTATTTTGTTTACAATTTCCTGGAAGAGTAAAGGAATTCAGGTTGCCAGGGTGACGCAAAGGGCAAGCAGACCGGTCACAGTTTCCCCTCTGGGAAAGAAGGGGCGTCAATCAGAGATGGAAAAACAAAATCACCCCTTTCCTCCCCCCCCTTCCTCCTTCCTCCTCCTATTTTTCTCCCTCTTCTGAGCCTTGGGAGAAGCTGCTTGGACGGGGCAAACTGGACAGAGGACCTCTGTGTCTGCCTGGGGTGCTGACCCGCGCCCCCAAGGCAGCAGGAGTCCTGGGAGCTGCAAACTTGGACCGCTTCTCTGCCAAGAAACAGAACCCATCGGCGCTCTCCTCTACCCTTCTCACTCAAAAGCTCTTTTTTTTTTTTTCGGAATTTTCCGGACAATTCCTTTACCTCTATGCTTGGATTTCACTTTGAAAATTATCACTTCTACTTTCCCTTTCAGATCTTCCTAAGCATTGTTGCAAAAGCTGTATTTACTGAGTGAACATTGTGCCTGGCAGCTTTCGAAATCATTCCCCAGACCAACTTGCTTAATCTGGACAACAATCCTGGGAGGCAGGTGCTGTTATTGCTCCCCCCCCCCCATTGGTAGAGGTTAGAGGATGAATACACAGAAGAATTAAGTGACTTTCCCAAGGTCACGCCTCTGAAGTATATGCACCACGACTGCCTGGGTGGGGTCCTTGTGTCTCACGACCTCCCCCTTCCGTCGCTGATGGAAGGAACGGTCTGCCCCTCTGGTTATTTAGTCCTGCCTGATCCTGGGGGGCGTGGAAGGCAAGGTGGCTGCTGAGAACTCTAAGGTGCGTGCCTTTTCCTCTGAGGCCTTTTTTTCGAGTTAAACAGAAGGTATTTTAAAAGCTTCCTCTAGGAAGGTTGCCATAGCGCACCCTCATGAGAATTTAAGGGAGCCCTAGAGAACACTGGGTTGCCAGCCAGCGCCCTGGACGATGGTCTCTTGGTGACAGTACCCTCCTCTTACCCAACTGGACTGGATGTCAGCCAAGGGAAGTCTCAGATGGCAGAGATCGGGGAGAGCCACAAAGAGCAGGCGGCACAGGAAGGAAGAAATGGGACCACTGCCCCCAGGGGCCTTTAGGAAAAACTGAGAGTGCCTTTGCATTTGGTGGCAATGTCATTAAATAGGGGGAAAAAAAAAACAATATTGTACGCATCCTGTTCTTGCTGAGGTCTAAAATACTACATGAAAAATAAATAAACAAAATTCTACATGAAGCAGCCAGATCAGCGGTGTGGAATTGTTTTCATAGTATTTTATGGGCTCTGTTTTTGTCTATGGGCCATGTCTTCATGCGCTCATGAAACTGTTGGAACTACCCCAGTTCTAGTTGTTTTCTCTTTATACTTCATGGGGGAGCAGAATTGGGGAAGCCTGACTTGAGACTTGCTGAGGAGAACGCTGAATTACTACATTGACAGATTTGTTGTAGGCAGAATGATTTTCCAAACAACAAGAAGATTCTAATATTATTGTGGACTCTTTGTGGGAGGCTTAGAACTAATTGGCCAATTCTTAATACACATCTGGGGGATTAAGTGAATGGCAGCTTCCTTTCAGAGGGAACCCCAATCTTCTTTCTTGTCTTGAATGACAGGATATGCTTGCGTCACTTGCCCTGTGATGGTGACTAGAAATACTGACCCGTATTTTCATCACCCATCCTTCTTGAAGAGCCAGGTAGTTTATGCCTTGAAGAGATCGCAGCGGAGCCCACATTCAGCTGGAGCCAGGCGAGTTAGACCGCAGAGGGGAAACGCAGGTCTGTGCAGTGTGAATATTTGAGATTTGAAGGTTTGGGGCTAGCAGGAGGGATATGGGGGCCTTCTGGAGCCAAGCTTTTGGTTTGGCCCAGATCCCAGAGACTGCTGAACCCGGGAGCCTGGGGTTGACTCTTCCTGGGAGAAGTGGAAGACAGTGGGTAGGAGGTGGTGAGCATGTTGCTGACGTACTGTATTTCCTGGAGGTCCTTGTGCTTAATATGGACACAGTATTTGCTGCGATGGTGGCAGAGAGAGCCTAGTTTCTGCCTCTAGTTGCCCGACGAGACGAAATCTCCATGCTCAGAGACTATAGTTCTTGCTAAAATTATTTTATTTTTGTATTTTAGGGAAGGGTCTACAGGGTGTTCAGGGTCTTACTACTAGATCGGACTAACAATCCGCCTGTTCACCGCCTCCCAAGAGCTGGGATTACAGGCACTTGCCACCGCGCCCAGTCTCAATTGCAGTCTCAGCGCGCCCTGGGGGTGGGGCCAGCATGACAGGCCCAGGGATTGAACTCTGGACCCTGCACCTGCTTGCAGGCCCTTTAATACACTGAGCTATTTATCTGGCCCTCTTGCTAAAATTATGACTGGAAATTTTCTGTTTAAATGTAGCCCAGTAAATCATAACTCTCGGTAAGTATTTGCTGAACAATGCATAAACACAGGTATAGAATAAGCTTTTATGATCTATGAGCAAAATTAAACAGAATTGGATTCGGCCCACCCTTTTTGGCTTCGCTTTCTTCTCATTGTTGTGCTTTCATTGTCTTTTCTCTTTCTCTCATTATATCAGCTCTAGGCCGCTTCCTGTTTCCGTTTACTGTTGCGTATTCCTTTTCTTTCTGCAGCTGAGCATAGGCATCTGACGTATGAGGCCACTGTAACTTAGACTTTCAAGGCCGCAGCTTCCCAAGTAGGTGTTATGGTTTAGACCTGCAGTGTCCCCCAAAGTCTTGTGTCAAAGGCTTGGTCACTGTCCCATGGCACCGCTACTGGGGAATCTTCAGGAGGTACAGCCTGGCAGAAGAAGGTTAGGTAATGGGAAAGGGGTACCTTAAGGAGCTTTGGGGGCCCTAGCCCTTCTTCTCTCGTTTTCCTTCCTGGCTCTCGTCACATGAGCAGTGTTGCTCCACCACGTGCTCCTGCCTGACCACAGGCCTACAAGCAATGCAGCCAGCTAGTCACAGCCCGAGAAAGGCCTCTGAGAAACTGAGCACAAACAAATCTTTAAATCTCCATTCAAGGTGTTTATCTCTATG